GTCCACTGTCAGGGCATGTACACAAGGCAATAGAATGATGTTTCTCTCTCACATTGATGTTTCTCTCTTTCTCTCTCTCACCCCCTTAATCCCTCTCTAAAATCAATAAACATATCCCAGGGTGAGGATTTTTTTTTAATCTCCTATGTTATAAAGAAAAAAAAAATCCTCCTTTGCTTAGATCTAAAGTGCTATTCTTTCTTTACCCAATCTTTACAATGTCATTTCCTTCATCAGATACAAAAGTCTTGAACACCAGTGAAATTCCTCTTATTTTAACAAATAACTTTCCAAAATGCCCAACATTTATTTTAATCTATAAAGGTCCCCTTTTTCCTAAAACTATTAATTTATAATAAAACATACTGAGATTTTAATTTCTTTATAAATAACAGACCAGAAAAACATCTTCAGAATTATCTTGACATTCTTGACCCTTTTGAACAAAAATGACAGAAAACTGCCATGTGGGAAAAAACAGATCTCTAAGCCCCACACAAAAGGTAATTAGTGTTTCAAAAGCAGAGCAAACATACATGTGAAATATATATTATGTAGTTACACAAGCTAAATTATTAACTTTCCAACTTGGCATAATGACAGGGTAGTTGAGAGAGAATGTAAAAGAAAATATTCAGCTTAAAATTAACAATGGGCCTATTTATTCAAGGTAGGATGGTTCTCCCATTTCAGCTTGAGAGAACTGAACGTCTCTTTTTATCCTCCTCTAGAACAGAAATTCTGCAGCTAGACCGTCTGGAGAATCACTCAACTATATTCACAGCTTCACTCATAGTCAAGCAATGGCAAGAAAAGTCTTCTTCACTTGGCACTGGAAACCAACACAGAGAAATGTTGACTCTGAGGTGTTTAAATTTTATCCTTCAAAGACCAGTTCAATTAATTTCTCCTGTTGGAAGTTGACCCCGACAAATACAAAAGACTGATGCCCACAGAAACTGAGAAACACTTATCTGTACCTTTGCCTTTTCCTCCAACACTGTCTTGTGACAGGTCTTATGACACTGTCTAGTACTGTACTTACTTCTTTTCTCCACAACCTCTGTACGCTCCATTATTCTATATCTTCTTCAATGGCTTCTAGGAAGAATTCCTTTAATTGCTGAATGAATGAATTCACAGCAAAGTACTTCATAGCTCTGTCTTTCCCTATTCTACATTGAACTCCCAAACAGGGCTCCATACTCCAGGAAAGAATAAATATCTCCTACATTTCAAATCCAACTAAAATCTTGTCTGAGCTGGTAACAACTGATCCTACCCAAATTCTTAAGAATCAAAATTATTATCTGGGTATTAAAATGTCTGACCACATTCTTATCTGCTAAAGAAATATCGTAGGTTTGTTTATGGAGAAATGGGAGATCATCCTTAGCAAATCCAAATACTGGCATTTAGGTAAAATACCCTAACACCACACATCAGAAAATAAAATGCAGCAGAGTACGTCAACTTTAGGATACTGTATTAAAAAGATGTTATTCACAAAATTATTATACTTCTTGTAATTTCATCATGAGAAACATCAACTTGCCAAAATATGGCCTTGAATTGTGCAACAAGTCTATTTCTTATAAAATATACTGGCAAAGACCAGCAAACCCACACTGTGACAATGAAACCCATCCCGACATTCTGTGGTTTCAAGGTAATTCCATAAACACAAAGTCACAAAAAGAGCCTGCAAACTCCTTTTGCAAGCACTCCATTTTAAGAATAGGAAACTGAAGACAGTGACTCGTGATGGTGAATTTATGGCAATCTTAGACTCTCTTTGAGCTTGCAGAAATTACCATTCTTATCTTAGAAATCAACCTACTTTAAAAAATGCAAAATTAATACCATATAGATGATGAACAAATTTTGGTGAAATGTTAAAATTTTATAGTCCAAATGCTTTAAGGTACAAGTCATATTCAGCATATTCATAAGCTAGTAGCAACAAAATCTCAAAGAAAAAAACCAGAATGTTCAGGTCCCAGCCAATGGCTTATTTGTCTCATATGCATTTGATATCACACAGTTCCAATGTTGTAAGAGAAGGTGAACAGCCCTTTGAAGTTCAAAATAATAATATCTGACCGAAGGAAACACTGTATACTTTTAAACTCTAAATAAAAACATACAGCTTCCTAGCTAAGCACAAACTTGGGATTTTTTTTTCAATTCCAACAGAGTGTAAGTAAAAAATATGTAACTGTTATATTCCCTACAATTATTGGGGATTTGATGTTTCAAGTCGCTAAATAATTATTCTTTTTAACTTTATTATATTAGTGTAATAAATGAGAGAATACTATGTGCTAAAAATTTCATACATATTATTAAAATAAGACAATCACTAAATTACATGTTTTAAGGCATGTGTTCAGGTTTTAATTGCCTCTTGAGACTATTGATCTGGTGACCACAAAAGTATTACTGTATTACATAAAAGGGAGAATAAATACAACCAGAGAAATAATAAGATGAAGTATAGCATTAATAATTTTACTTTAACAATGTAAATTAGTTACTATGCATACAACTTTATTAGGCAATGTTATTAGGCATGTTTGAACCACACAAGGGGTTAAAAATAACTACAATAGAAAGCCAAGAGCCTAGCAGCAGAGTTGAGCCAACATTCCCTCCTCTCCTCCCCCTCCCCTTCCCATCCTCTCCAGTCCAGAATGAATTGCATGCCCCACTGCACAAGGCCCAAAAAGGTCACAGGAGATGGCAGAGACTTTTGTAAGAGAACAGAAATAACTCAGCAGCTTTGTTACCATGCTTCTTTTAATCAGTATGTTCAAAATCCTTTAATTAGCACTCTGGCTACACAAGGAAAGCATTTCTTCTGTGCCAGGGGAGGACATGTATGTATGTACACAGTGTTCTGTTTTATCAGCATCACAACATGGAGCTAGAGCCTCAAATTGTCTGCCAGGGAACTGAAGCACAGAAATCTTTTTAAAAGGCATCATACCACACATTTACATACCATTTGCATTTCTATTACCAAACAACAGTGATAATTAGGTTTGTTTTATTTAGTTGTCAATTTATTTCTGGACTTTATTCCCAGTGAAAATGGAAATAATCTTAATGAAAAAAACTTCTTTTAGTCCATTATTGAAAAGTAGGATATTCAAACAATATAAAATAACATTCACAGAACATAAAAACAGAAACTATTCAAATATTGTTCCTTTCTTCATGATAGATCTTTAGTAGAGAAAAAAAAATTGCCTCACTCAAACAGGAATAAATCACAGGGCACATTTTTACATGGATGCTTTAATTTTAAAATTTCATCCAACCACAAAAAGTCTTAAAACTTGCAAACTGGATTACATGTATGTATTTCCTTGTAAAATCTGAAAAACTGAAATCAAGACAGAAATTAGTGATAAATTAGCAACAACTATTTAAAAATCCACAGACAAAAAACCAAGAAATAAAAGCTACTTAAAAATCCACAGCCAAGATCACTTCATTAGTAAGCTGGGAGTTGCAGTATTTTAATAGACGTGTATTACAAACGTATATTTAATCTTTCAAAATCAAATTGAATATATATTGTAAGAAGCAGTGTGTGTGTGTATAAATATACACATAAAATTAACCGAAATGATAACCTTCTAAATGTCTGATTATAGAAACAATATACTTAAATTTAAGATAAAAGTTTATTATTAGGGAAGCAGCATAACATAATTGCTTGAAAGCCAGTTCTTCCACACTAGTCATGTGAGCTCACAGACAGTTCTGGACAATGGGAATCATACCACTATTTTGCAGGTTGGCATGAGCATTGAAGGAGATGATGCATGTAAAACACTTGGCAAAAATTCCAAAGTTTGCTGGTACAGCCATTTGCGGGGAGGAAGAGGGATAAGTAATTGTATGCACTGCAGAAAAGTGTAAGTTAGTATGACCTATCAAAATTATATACATATATATGTAAAACTATGTCCCTATCGTATCCACTGCAGCACTGTTGGCAATAGGAATATTGGAAACAATATAAATGCCTTTCTGTAGTGTATAGTGAAATAAGTATTACCTCCCTACATGAAAATTCTATCTAGTTGTTTAAAAAAAAACTCTCAACATATTAATAGGAAAAGTTCTTCATAGTAAATTGTTGACAAAAAGCACAGTGGGAAAGTGTATACAACACACTACTATATAAGTAAAAGGGTAGTAGATATTCACATTTATTTCAATATATCAGGAAAAAAACACCCTCTATAAAGTTATACAAGTAATTAAGAGCAATAATTACCTACTGGTGATGAAACTGAAACAGTACTTGACCCAGTCAAGCCCCAATAAATGAAAAGTTATAATTGCTCCCCTCATCGTCATCAAGAAAACAGCCTTAAAATGTATACACAGAATCCATTCAAACTAAACTCATACTCAGGTACACAGCCAAATCTCAAGTATTCACAGACTGTCTGTCTAGTTGGAGAGCCAAAACTTTCATTTCTTTTTTAAAGGTAAGTAGCTTTGGGCCATTTTACTGTTGGCAATCACCTTCACCAGAAAGCAAGCTGAGGAATAATACCAAAAACAGTCATTTCATTAATACTGATCAACAGTTTTTAATAAACAGCACTGGAACTGAAAGGGACCAAGATATTCCATAGTACAACCTTCTAATATTACAAAGAAAGAAACTCAGTGAGATCCAGAGAATTCCCCAAAGTAATTACAGTTGAAAGATTTTAACTCTATCCCCTAATTAAATGATTTCCATTTTATCATTGCGATGATGAAGGGAAACTGAAAATAAACAAAATTGAAATCAATTATCCTTGCTAACTTCCCTCCTACCACATCCTTTTTTACAGGTAACTAAGTCTGTTCAGATCAAATCCCATAAACAACTGGAATAAGTAAATAACAGGTCATCCAGAGATAATTAGTCCTGAGGTTTCCAGGAAAGCACTGAATGGACATCTGTAATAAAATCTGTAAAGTTTGCTTACACTAGAGATTGTCAAAGGCATGTTGAAATCCTTGCCACCTTGCAGCCGGAAACCCCAAGGAGCTGGGCCAACCAAGGACACACTGTAGTTGCTCATGGTTCTAATGGTTCAAAGTCCAATCCCAGAAAGTGAAACTGTGAAAAGAAATTCAAAGGATTAAAAAAAATGTTTATTTGAAGCCCTATTATATATTTAAATGTATTTAATATAAACCCAAGTAAATTATGTTCAGTATTTTGTTTAGGGAGAAATGACAGGCTACAGAGAAAAAGTCTATATTAAGTTCTTACTTCAATGTAAGAAAAGAAATATATGAGCTAATATACAATTTCTAAACCCATGCCAATTTCCCTAGTATGAAAATTCCACATCAGAATATATTTCTAGACACTTGATCTATTTTACAACTTGCTACAATCTGTAGCTTCTTGCATACAAACTTTAACTCAAAGTACTTTACATTTTGTTATATATAAAAAAGAACAAGATTTTATTTCAAGTTTAATTCAAAATGATTTTCTCCTTTCCTCTACCTCATACATTCTTTTGCCTGCAATTGGCAAGAGTCCTTCAATTTCACCTACTTAAATTCTAGATTACTCTAACATATGAAAAGGATTGCTAATTCATAAACTCTCATTCATGCTTACTAAATGCTCTAAAATGAGTTTTTTTAAATGTACAAAACTGTTCTCTCCAATCATAAACTGCAACTTAAATTTCCTCTTAGAGGGATGTGATACATGCCACACATACAGTAATATTTACTTTTTCTTCAGACAGGCCATGATAGGTAATACTCTAGCACGGTGATGTATCAATCAGAACCAGCTTCTTGTTTATATACACACACCTCTTCAGGCAAAGTAGAGGGTGAGCATTTACCAAAGTGAAACTGACTAAGCATGGTAGGAGTATAATCTAAATGCATGAAAGGGAATAGGGGCTTTAGAAAAGAACCGGGGCTTTAGAAAAGAACCAGAGCTTTAGTGCCTTCTTTTTTGTGTTTTGCTGTAAGTGTGCTCATGTTGACTTTCATGGTAGTGTTATGTTTGGGGTTGGTTGCTATGGCAGTTATACATGGATGGGAGAATATGGGAGGAATGGAGATTTTCTAAGATGTACCGGTAATAATAAGCATAACACTTCCCTCTTTAAAAATATTAAAAATATAACACATATATAATTTAATAATTTTAAAACCGCTCTTTTTTTAAAGCTGTTTAAGACACACTTTCTTTGAAAATCTGTGCTGTTCAACCAAATAACCCTATATTACCTGTCTTAAACTACTTTTTAACCCATTCAAAATTTCTATCCCATCATACCAAATTGATAGTGGCAGATATAGATATTTGAACCACTGGGTATATTAAAAGCAAATACACTCCATATTTTTCATAAAGGGAAAGTGAAGCAAAACTTTCAAATAAGTCTCAGTCTTAAAGAAAAATTAAATCAGTGAAAATCTGCATGGCATCTACCTAGAAACTAAATGGGTTTTCCCACTGGCATGGTAGTACACGGAAATGCTATGCAAGAATAGTACTTCAACCCTGACATAATAGGAACAGGGCACTGAAAAGACCCAAGGCCAAGCCAGAAGCCAAACTGTCAGATATACCTGAAAAACGAACAGTAGGGAGGCAATAAGGAACCACATGTAATTTAATTCCTTCCCCCTATATAAAAGAAGATTTTCACATAACTGGAAAAGACTGTTCCGATATTGACACATTATACAAATCAGAAATGTACAAAGCCAACAGATATTTCACAGGCAGCGTGCCCTCCCTTTTTCAATCTTTTAACTTTTCTCAAGAGAAGAATGTTTAAGTTAGGCTCAACAACTTCTGGCCTCACTGTTCCCTACAAGAAAATGTATTATGTATCCACGCATACACATTCAACCTCTTTTTACTTGGGAGTTCCTTTCCTGACTTCTGTTTGTTATTAAAATTTCTAGCGCTGGCAAGGTCACAACCTCGCTACAGAACCAGTGTCACTTCATTTCTAATCAGTGTCGTTTCTAGTATTCCTCCTCTGCTAGCTTCATTCCCTCAAAATATTCCGATCCCTAAGCAATGGTAATGTTCCTGGCCTTCGCCAGGTCTCCTTCATCTGGTTATTAGTGCCCAAACTCTTCCTAAAATACCAAGAAGGCAGGAAATAGCAGCCTGTTCTGCTTTCAAACTCACAGAAAATGTTGGAACTTCGGTATAGCTCTGGATTTTCTCTTAGGTAAAGTCTAAACACTGTATTCGTGTATTCATCCTGGTACTTGGGAAAGAAGGTTAGTCAATTCCCACATTCCTATTCCAGTTTCTTTGATGGGTGAAAAGGGGGAAAAGAGAATTCGTGATGAACTGCTCAGGGTTAACAAGGGTCTGAAATTAAGGAGCAGTATCTTAGGATTCTCTTTTTCCCCCATTGAGAGACAGTGGAGGCAGAGCAGAAGAACTGAGGCCACAGGCACAGGACGAAGGCCGCCACGAGACAGTTTTCCAGCAGATGTTCTCGCCTAGCCCTGTTTGCCAAATAAGGCTCCAGAGCCGGCTGTTCCCGTGGCAGGCGGGTTCCGACGTCCTCCCGGTCAGGAAGGCGGACTTGGGCTAGGATCTGGCGTTCACACCCTAGCCCTGCCCTGCCCAGCGCAGCCACGGATTTTCTTTCCAAGCTCTGCCCTGCTGGCTGTACGCCCTTCCTTTTTCCACTTATTGTCAAGCGCACTGAAGGCACAGTCTTACAAAAGCCCCAAGCACACAAGTACTAATATATCTGGCGTTCACAACAGATTTGTTTTTTAAACGAGCTTTATTTCCGGACGCACGAAAGTTTTTCCCAAACAGGTTACGAAATCCTAACTATCAGGGGGGAAATAAACGTTTCTCAGTAGCGTGAGAGGAAACAAAAACTAACACGCCATTCCCATTGAGTCCCGCTTCCTCCCTACACTCCCCAAGGGATTTGCGCAGGGCGTGGGTGTACCCCACGCCCAGACGGGTGCCCGGGGCCGGCCGGCGGGTCGGTGCAGGGTGCCCGGGGGCCTTTCCGTGCTCCGGCCTCGCCATCCAGGGCGCCCCGCTCCTGCATCCCTGCCTTCGCCGCGCACGTCTCGGCCGGACCGGGCTCCGGGGACCTCCAGCGCGTCCGCTGGCCTCGCGCCCACTCCCTCGCTGTCCTTTCCCCAGCACTCCTCTTCCCACGCCGCTCTCCCACCTCTGCCGCTCCGAGACCAGAAAACACCTGAGAAACGGTCCCGCCCAAAAGGCGCCCCCTCTGACTGCCCAGCTAGGCTTCCCTTAAGCTTGGCACAAGGCAACCGCTACTTTCCCTCCCCTTTACGAGGACTCAGAGACGCGCACCCCCAAGGGGTGGCCACTCACCTCGGGTCCTGCAGCGTTGCCTCCACCTCAGAGGAGCGCTGACAAGTGATTCGTAGTGCGTGCGCCGTCCTCACAACCCGCGGGAACTTCCGCCTCCCAGCCAGCCCCCCACGGCCCCGCCCCCGAGCCGGGCACGCCCCCTTCGCTCCTGGCCTCGCCCTCCCGCCGGGCGAGACCGAGCGGCGCGGCGAGAGAAGCCGGCAGCGGAGCCTAGCGCTCGGGCTTGCTTGGGCGAGCTGAAGCTTCCGCCGAAAAACTATTGCGCTACCGAGTTCTGGTGGGAGTAGCCTTAAGGATTTTCGAGCACTGTCTAGCAAAGGTCTGCTCCGCGAATTTGTTTTGCTTTGGGTGCATTTCTTTCTCCAGAAACTGAATTGTCAAGCAGTTGCTCTGGCTAAAAATAGAAGGATATATCCCCATCTATGCAAATTCAACGGCTACTGCCTGTTTTTTTGAGAAAGCTTTAAATTTCCTGAGAAGCGCAAACCGTCAAGTTTGCTTTCAGGAAGGTGAATATCAGTAACTTTAGTATCTAGAAGTTAAATTCTGTGATCACATCAGAAGACAGTGATAAAGAGCGGCGGCCAACAGTTGAACCACTATATCCTCAGCTTACTTTTCTAAATCCACATCAATAATAGCCCACTTCCAATAAAATTTCGATAGTCCCGTTTCTATAAAGTTGCTTGATATATATATAGCTCAACGAGTTTATTCATAAACTTGAACGATAATCATGAAACACATGGAAAGTAACTTGTCGACTTTTTTAAACTGTAAGTTGGCTTATAAAATACGAAAAGGACAATTCTTAACCAAAGGACATGTAATGCAAGGATCAACTTCATGGGGTCCATGTATCCTTTAGAAATACAAACTTTTAGAGAAGGCCCCAAACTGCTCTGTCCAAAACAGTAGACACTAGCCACATGTGTCTTCTGAACATTTGAAATGTGGCTACTGCAACTGAATTACTGAATTTGTTTTATAAAAGTTTAATTAATTTAAATTTAAAAACACAGGAAGGGTAACCTATTTCCATTAAACATAACTTTATTGTCTGGGTAGGACTATATTTTACTTTACCAGTGAAATTTAGTGCCCAAATCGACATATGATAGAAGTGTAAAAATGCTCACTAGATTTTGAAGACTCAGTATGAAAAATAAAATGTACCATACCTCATTAATAATTTTATTTTGATTACATGTTGACATAAGATTTTTATATTTGGTTAAAATCTTAGTAATTTCGCCTGTTCTTTTAAATGTGAATACTAAAACATTTAAAATTACCTATGTGAGTAGCATTATATTTTCATTTGACGATACATAGCTTTCATCTCATTCTACAAAAGATTATGTTGGAGGGAAAGATTTCTTAGAGTGAGAGTTCATTTACATAGTACTTTAATATAGGTTATCATGCTTGATATCTCACCAAAATTACATAAATAATAACAATAGCTGTCACTTACAAAGAGCTACCACGTAGTAGACAATGTGGTAATCCTTACAATAACTTTGTAAGACCAATGCCATCCTCATTTATTGTTAATAAAATTGAGGTTGCAAGAGATTACAGCTTATGACAGTTTTTCAGAACAATAGCTATAGTTACTCTCTAAGGGTCCCATCTCTGCCCCTCCTCATCTGTTTGCTGCTGACACAGTCAATTTGAGCCTGTATCAACAAAGGTTGACTAAAGACATCAATAATTGCAGGTGGGGTATGAAGTTATTACCAGAGAGTAAGTATCTTGAGGTGATGAAGAAGAGGTGAGAGTGAGGGGAATGTTACTTAGGCAGATTCAATTGCAGCCTCCAGATGCTAGCCTGCCTTTGAATCTTCCTCCTCCTACCACAATTTAGAATAGGTATAGAATAGATTAACCACATTAAGGTGTGATGCATAGACTGATATGTATCCAAGTGTTTTCCAAAGAACTAACTGCATTAAAATGACATGGGCAGTTTGTTAATATTGCATTTTCCTAGGCCTCACCCAGAGACCCAGGATCCTTGCAGGTGGACCCCAGGAATTTACCTTTTTAACTAACTTTCCCTCCCCTCAACCCAACCTCGAGGTAACTATTAAACTACAATATTTAAAAACCAGTTCTGTAGAAATATTCCTACATCCCCAATTTACTGTATATTGTGCTTAGGTTAGAACAACACATCCCAGATCAGCAACTTATCTCAGTTTCTTCATCTTAACGGAAATTATAAATAACCTTGTGAGGTTATCTTAAGGAGTAGAAATAACATATACAAGGTCTGTCCAAAAGGTATCCAGCCATATAATATCAAAAATAGAGACATTTATTAAAAAAGACATAAGTTACAAGAAACATTATGTGTAGTACAATGATGCTCTAGTCCCCTTCCAATAAGGCACCTCAGGGCTTCACACAGTTCTCCCAGTCACCATCAGCTGCCCCATCCTGTTTTCCTGAATCTCAGTGATGGTCTGAAATATCTTCCCTTTCAAAGATGACTTTAGTTTTGGGAAAAGCCAGAAGTTGTGGGCTGCCAAATCTGGGCTATAGTGGGGCTGAGTCACCTGGGTGATTTGATATTTAGCCAAAAAACGGTGCACAACATGTGATGTGTGAGTGGGTGTGGTATTGTGATGAAGCTGCCAGTTACCAGTTGCCCATAGCTGGGGCCTTCTGAATCATCTGAATAGTTTCCACAAAAGAATGTTCAAGCTTAATGCAAAATTTGATGCAGATTCATTGCTTTACTTGCTCAGTCATTTTGAATGCGACAGCCACACAATACACCTGATCACTCACTGGCATCTACCGCTCCTGTTGACTAGTACAGTGAAGTTGTCCTTGTTCAAGCATGTGTACTCCAGGCCACTCTCCTTGGCTGCCAGGTTACATCGATACCATGTAAGCTGTTCTCATTATATTAAGATTGGCTGGAGTTTTTCTGGACAGACCTCATGTAAAATACCTCACAACATGCTTGGCACCAAGTATATGTTAAAGAAATTGTATCCAAATGAAATGCCATTAACCAATTGATTAGATTCTTTTATATATCACTGAAGATAAGTACACTCCTTCAGCATTTGTTGTGCACTTACTTTGTTCTTGGTGACTTACATACAGTATCTTAACTCTTGCAATGAGATGAAGTAGGTATTTTTTAAAAGGAAGAGAGACTTGGAGGTTAAGATATTTAACCAAGGCCACACAACTGATTAGTGATAGAAGTAAAGCAGACAGTAGGACTCCAAGCAGAGAAGTAGAGCAGAGGGTAGGATTCCAAAAACCATGTCCTTTTTAATCTCAATACACTGCCTCTCAATAAATTCAGTAAACCCATCCAGCTTTAAAGACCAGAGAAATAAGGGGACCTCTGGTCAAGACAGAGGCGTAGGAAGGCATGCTTTGCCTCCTTACACAACCACAAGAAGAATTGCAACTAACCTCAAAACAAAAACACACAGAACGGCCAAAAAATTCAAACTATATGGAAGTCTGACAAACAAGGATTTAAAGAAGCGACAGTCATCCAGACACACAGGATGAGCCGATGTGGAGAGCCAGTGGCGGAGAGGATGAAGTGAGATAAAGAGAGACAGCAGAGGTGGCAGCAGAACAGGTGGTCCCACATTCATGTGTGATGGATAAAAATTGGGAGGGATACCTTGGGAGTGAGTGATCCCAGCCCTTAGCCAGGCCACACAACCCAGGGTTCCAAGGCCGGTAAGATAAAGCCTCACAATTTGTGGCTGTAAAAACAAGTGGGAGTTGAGGTGGCAGAAAAACTGCTGGTTTCTAAGGAGTGTCCGTTTAAAGCGTCTGCATGGTCCTAGAATGTACGCAAATTCTCCCACTCTGTGATTCAGCACCAGGGCAGCAGCTAGAAGAGCACCAGTTGCATATGGGAAGTGGGTGAAGAGATTGGAAATGGGATGAGTGCTGAACTATTTCCAGAAGCCAGGCAGCAGCATTGTCTCGTATCTGACCCCTCCTGTCCCGACACAATGCCACAAAGATATGAAGTGGGTGGCCGCACCCTAGCAAATACCTAAGGATCTACCCTTTAAAACGTACCAGGTATGCTAAGACTGAGAGTCAAAGCAGCTCCGCCTAATACTTGGAAATAAGCACAGGGAGGTGCCAAGTTGGGGAGACAAAGAAATATGGCCCAGTAAAAGAATGGAACAAAACCCCCAAAAAAGAACTAAGCAAAACAGAGATAATCAACATAACAGATGCAGAGTTCAAAACACTGGTGATAAGGATGCTCAGAGAACTCACTGATTATGGTGAAAACATAAGGGAAGAAATGAATGCCACACTAAATGAAATAAATAAAAATCCACAGGGGATCAACAGTGAAGGGAAGGGAGCTGGGATTCAAATCAATGATTTGAAACATAAGGAAGCAATAAACATTCAACCAGAACAGAATGAAGAAAAAAGAATTCAAAAAAATAAGAAGAGGATAAGAAGACTCTGGGACATCTCCAAAAGGGCCGACATCCAAATCATAAGAATGCCAGAAGGAGAAAATGAAGAGCAAGAAATTGAAAATCTATTTGAAAAAATAATGAAAGAAAACTTCCCTAATTTGGTGAAGGAAATAGACATGCAAGTCAAGGAAGCACAGAGAGTCCCAAACAAGCTAGACCCAAAGAGGACCACAACAAAACACATCATAATTAAAATGCCAAAGTCTAAAGATAAAGAAAGAATCTTAAAAGCAGCATGAGAAAAGCAGAGAGTTACTTACAAAGGAGTTCCCATAAGACTATTAGCTGATTTCTCAAAAGAAACTTTGCAGGCAAGAAGGGGTTGGCAAGAAGTATTCAAAGTGATAAAAAACCAGGACCTACAACCAAGATTACTCTATCCAGCAAAGATATCATTTAGAATGGAAGGGCAGATAAAGTGCTTCCCAGAAAAGATAAAGCTAAAGGAATTCATCATCACGAAGCCATTATTACATGAAATGTTAAAGGATCATATTTAAGAAAAAGAAGATCAAAACTGTGAACATTAAAATGATAACAAACTCACAACTATCAACTACTGAATCTAAAAAACAAAAATAAACTA